AAAATTTAAATATTTTATATTTATGACACAAAAAGAATTATATCTATTAATACTCGTTAAATAATTTTTAATTGTGTCGTATCATGTCGTGTCTAACTTTAAACAGAAAATATTTATTTAATGAATATTGTAGGCAAAAAATATGTATTTAAAATTTTTTTAAGTAGTATTATATAAATTGTCACAAATGTGAAATATACGATATAATGCAATTGATTTGACAAAAAAATATTGTGTTAAACATAATTTTTTATAGACTCGAACATAATATAAAAATAATACGACATGACACAAAAATGTTACGATACGACAAAATTGAGATGTATTTAACGAATATCAATTGATAAAATTCTTTTTAAATCATAAATGTAAAATATTTAAATTTGAAGGTACAATTTACAATTAGCTCAAACTTTTTCAATGGCAAAATAGACAGTAGTTAACCCCATTACACATTGATATAAATTTATATCTTTCAGGTTATAAATTGATATTTTTAAATTTTGAGGGTACAAATTAAAATTTAAATCATCTTTTGCGCGCAATTTGATATTAGTCCTTATTTTGACGACAATGTTATAAGAATCTTATTTGGTGACCTTATTCTTCTTTATTATAAGATTGACAATAGACTCTACTATTAATTATGATCCATTATTAATTCAATGGCAATGATTCATCGTATTACCAGATAAGATTACTAAATTAAGTACAAAAAATATTTATATTGTTATAATAATTTCAATAAAATTATATTATTAAATCAAAATTTTAAACCTATATGGCTTGAGCAAAACTCTAATTAACGGGTGTGTAAGACCTTAACATTTTCAGAATCAAATGGAATCAACGGAAAAATAGCAGATAACAGAGCTACGTTGCACTGTGGGTTTGGATACAAAATTTGGTGTTTGTTTATAAAAAAAAATATTTTGAAATGTTTCAGCCACACTCTTTTTACTTTATAATATCTTCAAAAATATTCTCTCTATTAAAAGTTTTAATTGTAATATAATTTTACTAAATAATCCATGATATATTTAAAAAAAAAATTAATCAACACCCTCTTTAGATAGACATATCTTCAATGAGACTCTCTCTGTTTTATGAATTTTTTTAAGTATTAAAATTTAGACCGATTAAAATTCGATTCAAGCTGATTAAAATTCATTTTTAATCGGCTCGAATCAAATTTTAATCAACTTGTATTGAATTTTAATCGGTCCGAATTTTAATACGTAAAAAAATACAAATTTTAATCAACTCTAATGTTAATACGTAAAAAATGAATTTTAATCAACTTGACACGAATTTTAATAAGTAAAAAAAATATAAATTTTTATCGGTGCTAACAACTCAAGTTGAGATCAAATCGCTCGAATTTTAATACATAAAAAAAATTTAATAGGCTTGAATTTAATAAGTAAAAAAAATAAAATTTAATCAGTTTGAATCGAATTTTAATTGACGTAAATTTTACTATGCAAAAAAAATAAATTTTAACAGATTAAATTTTAATATGTAAAAAAATAAATTTTAATCTGCTCGAATTTTAATCGAATTATATGTAGAAAGACTATTTGGGTATATGAATAGACAATTTTGATATTTTAGATAAATTTTTCTGTTAGAAATAGTGGTTTAACGACAGGATGTCAATAATGTTTAAATTAAACTAAAATGAGTGTCAGTAATATTCTAGATAATATAAGAGATGTTTTTAAAAATTAATGTTTAAATTAAACTAAAATGAGTGTCATTAATATTCTAGATAATATAAGAGATGTTTTTAAAAATATGATAAACTAGTAGGAGTGTACCTGAAATTTCCGTGATAGAACACTTAGGTTAAGTAATGACTTTTAAGATTTGAATAACAATTGTTTTTGGCTAAGTTATAATTTTTGTGCTAATTTTTCATATATCTATACTACTAATAAAAGTACTTTAGTATAAAAAAAAATTAATTTACTATTTTACCCCTATAAAAAACTATAAAAGCTAACATGTCATTTGATATTTAAATTTACAAATTACGAATATATTCTTTTGAATTTAAATAACAAAATAATTTCTAATATATCATGTAAATTTATCTATCTTTGCAAAACTTTAGAATGGTCATGTTATACTTAACATGATATATAAAAATAACATTATTTTTTTTTCTCAAAACTCCAATATTAATACATATTGACAACTCTATTAATATAATATCATCTCTAATGCCCAAAAATTGATATATTTATCTTTTCTCTTCATTTACAATTAAAATAATTTAATAAAAAATTATTGAGGCAAGTAAAAACAAGAAAGAAAATAAATCAAGAAAATAAAATCTTATAACCTTTACTACTTGATAGTTCGAATGAAAGAATATAAAATATGAGTCAATTGAATGTTTATAATTGTGAAGAGAATATAAATATTTTAAATATAATAAAAAAAGATAATATCTAATTAGATTTTTTGTATATATTTTATCAAATCTTTTAACAAAAATTTTCACGGCACTCGGTTTATTGCTAATATATATAGGGATCAAATATGATTATGATTTTTTGAGTGCAACATACTTTTGATATTCGATAAAAAAATGCCTTTGATTTAATGACAAAATTAGAATATAGATAAGATTCCAGAGTGCCAAAGTGTCACTCCTAATTAGGGGCTTGAACTTCCCATTTTTGTCATCTACAATTGGGGTTCTTCTCATAGGACTGGGGCCGGCTACCATTCTCTGTAATTGTTGGTGTGAGACCTAAGCAAGTTCCGATTAGTCAAATACGCAGTTGCTCCACGTAACTGCCTCGCTAAAACCACTTAACTGCTTACTTACCCAAAAAATAAAAAACCACTTAACTGCTCACAAGCCAAAAGACGTGTCTGCCAAGTTCGGTTCTCCTTAGTTGGATTTAGCTGGTTCGCCCAGAAAAGTTTGGGGGTCTGGGAGGAGAGGGAGTTGGTTTTTGTTTTTGTTTTTTTTTTTTTGGGAT